AATGAATAAGCGTATATAAATATATAAAATATGTGAAGTTAATATTAATTAATAATAATAAAAGACCTTTCCCCTTATCCTTAACCCTGAACCTTTCAATACCCTTTAACTTTATACCTTTCCCCTTATTCTTTATCCTGAACCTTTCTATACCCATTAATTTATACTTTTCCCCTGAGCCTTTCCATACCCTTCTCTCGAACCTTTCCCCTTATCCTTTCTCCTGAACATTTCTTTTGTATTTACTCCCCCCTTTCATTTTTTGAACTTTTTTTCTTGCTCTTGGGGGGTTCAGTTTTGTTGGTTTAAAATTTTAAAACACATAGTAATTTATAAGAAATCATATCAAACCAAGGGCGTATACAGGGGGGGGGCATGGGGAGCAGTGCCCCCCCTAGACTTGTAAAGGGGGGGGCGTAGCCCCCCCCTACATTTATTTCTGTATACGCCCTTGTATCAAACTTTTATATTTTAATTTGTAGAGTAAAGGGTGCAAAAGGATGTTAAGGGAAAAAGAAATGAGTGTAATCAAAGGATAAAGCAAAATGTAAAGTAAAGTGTAAGAAAAGACTTATATTAAAGAATATGAAAAGAGCAAAGAGTAAAGGATAAGGAAGTAAAGTAAAAAAGAATGGTTTATGTTGAAGGAAAAGAANTGTTTTCAATAAAGGATAAGGAAATGTTTTCAATAAAGGATAAGGAAATGTTTTCAATAAAGGATAAGGAAATGTTTTCAATAAAGGATAAGGAAATGTTTTCAATAAAGGATAAGGAAATGTTTTCAATAAAGGATAAGGAAATGTTTTTTCAATAAACGATAAGGAAATGTTTTCAATAAAGGATAAGGAAATGTTTTTTCAATAAAGGATAAGGAAATGTTTTCAATAAAGAATAAGGAAAAAATTTGAAGTATAAGAAATAACCTTTGTGACAGAAACAATCTCAAGAACACCGAAATATATTTTCAATAAATGTGGAACTAACATCTACTGTTTTACTCGACAGAGGTTTGGTCCATCACCATCACCGAATTTAAAATGAAATAGAAGGGTTCAGAGTAAAGATTAGGAAAGTTTTAGAGTGAAGATTAAAGAAAGGTTTAAAGTAAAGTATAAGGATAGAGTAAATGATATTGCATAAAGCCATAGTTGAAATATTTTCTATTTGTGGAGGTCATTAGAGGTCATTAGAGGTCATTTGAGGTCATTAAAATTCAATTTTATTTATTTTAGAAGTTTTGATCACTAATTAGGCTTGCAGCCAAAAAATTGGAAGATTTGAACCAAAAATGAAGGCAGGGCCCCCCTACATTAAACATGCCATCTCCAACATTCCCTTTACAAAAACATAACTAATTTTTCCCTGCGGTCATATGATGTCCCACACCAAATTTGGGCCTGATTGAATCTGCCGTTTTGACGTTTATTGGATACAAACAGTCTATATATAGATAACAGCTAGATATAAATTACTGTGTCACTAAAATACTCAATATGTTAATCAGGAATATAATTAGAAAATTTTTGTAAGTTTTGCAATTTTTACTCATTGTCTGGAGTTTCCCTATTGAAATCTATTCAGTAGGCCTAATATTCGAAATTGTACTTGGTCTCTCCAAACCTGTGTTTCAGCTTTTTCGCCAATAATAATACAGAAAAATTATGTTTCATTTTTTTTGTATTAAAAAGTGTATCTTAAAGGAACAACTGGGTGTAAGGGAGGGGGGTCTTTATATAAACAGTTTGCTCTAAAATGCCGTGTTAATCTTTAAATAAAAAATTTCTTTGGAAACTGATGAGCTACCTTAAGGGAGACCATACAAAACATTTCACCACAAAACTTATCACCACAAAATTTATCACCACAAAACTTATCATCCCAAAACTTATCAAACTACAAAACTTATCAAACCACAAAACTTATCAAAACAAAACTTATCAACAACAAAACTTATCAAACTACAAAACATATCAAACTTAAAACTTATCAATAAAATTCATGAATCTAAATTTTCAAATAATGGAAATGTACCAACAATTTTTTTAAAATCCGCGAATTTTAATAGAAAATTTGGTAAACTCTCAGTTTCCCAGCCCCTTTCAACTGAGATGGAGGCTAATTGTGTTCTCTCACAGAAGGGTACAAAGGAATTGAGTCTTTGTCACAAACTCTGATTTTCAAATCACTATATCTTTGGAACCAAATGTTGTAGACCTTAGATATTTCAAACAATGAATTCTGTTTAATCAAATAATCAGAGTTTGAAATATTAAAGGTTTACAACATCGGGTTCTAAAGATATTGGGGGTTAAATATTTGATTTTGTTACAAAGACTCAATTCCTTTACTGAAGGATGATGAAAATCATCTGTACAACAAATACAAAGAGAACAAGAACAAGACCTGAAGGCTATGTGTGCAAGCTTTGATAGTGTACCCTTGAACACATATCTGTTCAATATTGCCAGCCTATTTACAGATGAAAAATGATTTATAAATATAAATTCTAAGTCAAGTTTGAGTTGTAACAACTTTTAAAAAGGTTTCGAAAAATAAATTTTGTAGTTATTTTAATAAGTTTTGAATTTGATAAGTTTTGTAGTTTGATAAGTTTTGTGATGATAAGTTTTGTTTTGATAAGTTTGGTTGTTAGATAAGTTTTGTTTTGATAAGTTTTGTGGTGATACGTTTTGTGGTGATAAGTTTTGTGGTGATAAGTTTTGTGGTGATAAGTTTTGTATGGTCTCCACATTAAGTGTCATACAGTGTCTTTTTTATATATTCCTTTGTTATAAATTTCATTCTTCTATCATTCAACACCAGTATCAAGTAGATAGATTTTTAACAATCTTTCATCAAACCATAGATAATATAATAATCTGAACTTTTTTATGTTGCACACATGTTATATTTTTTATGTTTCAAAGTGTGATATTTAAAACTTGAAACTTCTGTACTCTACTCCTTTTCATTTTATTCAGAACAATTAACAAGAACTTGCTGCATTAAATCCAATTTATTTTTAGAAAAGACAATATTTTAAATCAAATTATTAATTTAAGTTACAATAGAATAAACATACATCTCTGTATCAATTACACAGAATTGATACAGAGGCATGTTGTTTATGTCCATATTGCAGAGGTTCCTCCATCCAATCTTCACCTTCAAGTTTCTCCAGGCTGTCTACACCTCCATCCCCTCCAAATACTACCAGGTTGTTGTCCAGCACCTCCATTGTTAGGTAGACTCTCCTCTTGGTCAGCTTAGGTCCACTCCTCCAGGTGTTTGTAAACCCTGGTGTCAGGACTTCTACAACATCTTGATATCCAAAATTGTCTCCTCCAGCTGTCCATATTTCTCCATTAAACATGCTGCATGCTAGTCCTCTCCTAAACAAACAAATATAAAATTATTTTAAGTATTGAAGGTCTATGACATTGGGTTGCAAAGATATATGAATAAGAAATTGAGAGTTTGTGGCAAAAAATCAATTCCTTTAATAGCAACAAAAAGGTTTTTTTATTTAGAAAGCAACAGACAAAGAGTATGAGGATGAAATAAAAAAAACATTAAGATTAATTTATTATTATTTTTCAGATTATGAATCGTTGATTATATTAGATTTGAATATTTAAATTCATTAAATCCACTTGTATATTATTCTATATTCATTGTATGTATTTGTGGGAAGTATTTTCAAACTTGTCATCAATTTAAGAATGACACCATTAATATTAGAAAAAATCATGAAAATATAAAAAAGAACATTTTTAAATGTTTCAGTCTTTAGATATATTTTAGAAAGATTACCTTGCAGTTGGCATTGATGGAAGCTCTGCAATGAATCCCTCTTCAATACTGTAGACTTCTACAAGAGATAAGTTGTCGTTAGAATATCCTCCAAGCAGCATGACTTGACTCTCACTAGAATATAAAATGTTAAGAAATATAAAAAGAATTTAAAAATGCTGACAGTTTTATTTTTGATGCTATTATCTATAATTCTGTTCATTTGTGCCAACTTTTGATGTAAGATATCTTTAAATATTAACAGTTTTTTCTTTTAAAAAGGGGTATTTAGCAAGGTTGAACAATGTTTGTATGTAATAAAGATATAAGTAGATTTATTTTTGAAAACATGGTGGAAATATTTGACAACAGCATATATTCTGTATAAGAATTCATCTTATTTCATCATTATTGATTAATTATATGTGTGCACTTGTCATGACTAATATATATAAATAATAAAGGCATACCTGATAGGAACAGAACAGTGACTATGTCTTGGAGATGTTAATTCATAGTTTTGAAGCTTCCAGGAGGATCCATCAAACACCTCCACAGTAGCAGTTATCCTAGTAAACAAATATATAATTTTAACTGACACAGGTGAAGGGGTTTAACTGAAGGATTCCAGTTTGTGAGAATGCTTATATAATAATTCAATATTTTAATTTAGAAACATCCATTTTTTTAATAGGAAAGAAAGCTAGATGATCAATAAAGAACAAAAAGGTTTATAAAACAAATATAAATAAACATAGCACATACCCCTGTGGAGTATATCCTCCTGCAGCAAGTATTTTGTCTCCTAGTGTAGTCAGGGTAAAGTAATATCTACCCACATTCATACTTTCAAACTCTATCCAGTCCATTCCCTCATTCTTGAAACAGTTACTAAACAAAAATATTCAATTTCAACTTTTATTTAGTGAATTTTCATCTTTTATTTAGTGAATTTTTAACTTTTTTAATACATATGATTTATATTCTATATTTTATTATTGTTTGATTTATTAGTTTTCACTTGTTTACTATATTCTACCTGCGCCATTCTATAGGTATAGGTTTGCAACATTTAGGAGTTTAACACAGTTTATTTACATTACAATGTGTTTGAATTCCCCTCTCCCTCCATCATTATTTTATTTTGTATTGAATGTGATTATTCAATTATAAAAGATTTAATTGTAATCTTAAATATGATGTCAACAATACATATAAAAATAGTTTTGATTAGTTTCTCATTGGGCGTTGTTGTAGCTCTTAAAATAACTAGCAGAATACAAAAATTTTAAAATGCTCCAATCTTTAGTTCGTTAAGTGTAAGAAACACAAAGAAAGGTTTGTTGCATCAAAGAATAATAGTTTAATTTAACATGAATTGAGTTTTTGCTACAAATTCTGATTTTCCAATCTTTCAAACTATGAATTCTGTTACATCAAATTGTCTAAGTTTACAATATCAAAAGTTTACACTTTCATGTGGGTGCACTTAAAGAGGAGTTTAACCCCTCATAGGAATACAAGCCATGCACAATGATACCAGTCTTTACTCGACCAGATGCGAGGACTGGACTGCCATGGAAGATACCTCTCAAGAGAGCTTTCAGGAATCACAACTCCCCATTTTGCATAAGGGGTGCAGTTATGGGTAAATTCCTTAATTCCCCTAACTAGGAAGCAGTATAAAATGATGGAAAACAGGGAGAAATCCCCTATACCCTTCTTCCTACAAACCTCCTTATCTCTCTCCTACTTGCTCCACAACTTGATGTTAAAAGAACAATTTGGAAAGTGTAAAAACAAGAAACAAGAAGAAAAAAGTGGAGGGGAAATCTCTTGACAGTAGAGATAGGGGCTTACAGCAAGATGAAGAAGAAAGAAGAAGAAAACTTTGAACAGGAAAAATTAGAAGGGGATTTTAGCTTTACACTATCTATTTTTTTTTGGATAAAAGAATTAGAAGGTGTTAAGTTACTTTTTTTACAGTGATTATTTCTGAAATATAAAACCTAAATGTTCAAGAATTTCCAATATAAAATTTCTAAATTATCATCCTTAATCATCTATTTTAATAGGTAAACTTTGAATATGGATTTAGCGCTGAATAATCATTAAGTAATAGATAGGTTTAAATATTAATAAAAGTAATAATGTAATTAAACTTTATGTATCAACTCCTAAGTTGCATACCACCATCATATCCCCCGCAGTAAACAATCTGTCCATTCAGAACTGCAGCTCCTAAGATATATTAATATAATTAACTAAATAAAAATACACCTTTATTAAACCCAATATATAACATAAAATAGATACATTTATTTTCTTATGATCTTATAGTTAGAAAACCAATTATATTTTGTTGTATTAATCACAGGAATTCTATAGTGTAAGATAAATTAATCTATAATTCTGTAATAAATTTAAACTGTATCACTTACTCTCAGACAAATAAAATCAATGTACGCCCTCGGGTTTATCATTGAATCCCTTGGGGGTTTAAATTTCCATTGTTCATATCTTCATTGTTTAAAATAAAAATCCCCTCAAATCATATTTAGCTTAGAATGAAGTTTCAAGTCTGAATCAAGCTCACTCTCAAAGTATATTTGACTGTACTGAATATAAAAAATTCCTAACTTTTCATTTATTAGGACTAAATTTCAGTATAAATAGTGCTTTGCTACTGTCCAAATGATTGAATGATTGATACAATTGATTGATCACAATACTTTAATCCCATATTTTTGCAAGCCCTCTGCTGTTCGAAACTATTAAGACAATACTTCCTTATGGATTATCGATCTGTCATTAACACTTTTCTGTCCTGGAAAATGTTATTAATTAGTGTTTTTTACATTATTTAGTATAAATCAAATCCGGAACGGTAGCGGACTGACGGACTGATCTCGGTGTCGGACTGACCTCGGAGCAGAACTTTTCTATGAAAACATAACGTATGAACTGAACTGGAACGCCTCCTGAACCTGTGGATAATTGAGACATACCCCACCACAGAAAAGAAACGGCCGAGAAACCATGACTCCACAAGATATGATGAACATGATGCAGCCTCGATATTAACGAGGAACCATCAATGTTCCTCGATTTATATCTCTTAATTATAATTGTCCCTCTTTTATCCTATAACATGTAGCCGAAATATCAAAGAGAAACAGTCAATGTTTCTCGTTCTAAAGCTAACATGATTTTTCTTTAACATAAAAAAGAAAACGCGCTCCCGTACATGTTTATGTGAAAAGTTATCTGTTGCATAATTATTTTTTTCCTTTCTTTAATCCTTTATTATGTTGCCTCAATACTAATGAAGAAAGGTCAATTTTCTTCATTATGAAGCCAACATCAATCTTCTCTAATAGAAAAAAGAGAACTCGTCTCCGTGGCATGTTTTCGCGAAAGCATGCACAAAGTTAATTATAGCATTTTCTAATAATTGATAACACACACCGTGTCTATCGTACTGCTAAGTCACATTGTATACAAATATGCTATCCTATTGAATAAAATGTAGTTGTTTTATCGCTTGAACTGCTGATTCGTCAATACTCGATGTTAAATGATCAATTCTGATAAGAAAATAATGATAAAAAATGTATCCGAAAACTAATAGATTACTTCTTAATTAATGTATGTAAACCATATTATCGTAAAATAGTTTTTTCTGTTAAATTTGTAATATATCCTAGATACGTAAATAAATATTTAGATCTTAAAAAGAATTTCCATTGATTCTAATTTGTCTGAGAGTAAATGACATTCCTTTTTAAAGAGGGGATTCAATGATAAACCCAAGGGCTTGCGGATTTTGCGGATTTTTTTTTTGCCTTTGTAGATTTTCAAAGTATCTTTCAATGAAAATATCCCGGCAGGATTAAATGAAAATTGTTGCATACCAAAAAAACAGCTTTTTATATTACAGGACCAGGTGTAGAATACAGCTTGAGTAAGCAAAGTTTAAAACAAGCAAAAAGCATTAAATGTAGTTTACAACAAGAAATAAAAATGCTTTTTCTTTATTCATCACTGAATTATAAATCAAATTATCTTATATTTTTAATTTCCTCAGATTGTATTGAACTCTAAATTTAAGTTCTGTAACAAGATCAACCGAACAAGTATTTATAGAGGGGGTTTAAAAGTCTCATCTACCATCTTATACTTCTTTAGAATTTAATCTTTAATAAGGTGTAATATATTTTAATCAACTTAATAATTTATTATAGGAGCTGCAGTTCTAAATGGAAAGATTATTTATTGCGGTGGAGCGGATTATAGTGGTATATGCAACTTAGGAGTAGAAACATACAGTTGAATTATAGTGTATATTGAGTAGAGTTTCCATCGCAAAAGTGTTTTACTTCCATGCAATTGCTAGCCCTTGCGCGCAACTTCGCAAGTGAATTTAATTGCGCACAATTTCGTAATAACTGCATGCAATAAACGCAACAGAATTGTGCAAAGTTGAGCACTTTTGCGCGAATTTCCGACCAACTTTCTTGCGTTTATGTTTCAGTTTACCGAATATATTCAATTTGAGCCTATAATGGAACGCCTCTGATAGTGGCATACAATAAAGAAGGAGGTAGGGAGACTTACTTCCCGTTAACGGGACTGTAAAGGAAAAATGAAAGGGGGTATAGGCTGAAAGCTAATCACTTTAGCTCTTGATCGCGACCCATGAAAGTTTGATCTGATGTTCCTATCTCGAGAAAGTGATTTACAACTTTGTCAAAATTATACGAAAATATGTGAAGTTAATATGGAGTAAAGAATGAATGAATAAGCGTATATAAATATATAAAATATGTGAAGTTAATATGGGGTAAAGAATGAATGAATAAATGAATGAATAAGTGTATATAAATAAACAAAATATGTGAAGTTAATATGGGGTAAAGAATGAATTAATAAATGAATGAATAAGCGTATATAAATATATAAAATGTGAAGTTAGTATTGGGTAAAGAATGAATGAATAAATGAATGAATAAGTATATATAAATATATAAATATGTGAAGTTAATATGGAGTAAAGAATGGATTAATAAATGAATGAATAAGCGTATATAAATATATAAAGGCGCCGTGAAAAATAAAAGTTGAA